ATAGTCAGTAATAAAAAGCTCCGCTCGACGCACAGTCGTCGTCTCCAGTACCCTTCTTCGTTCTGGTTTCATGCACATTTCCTTTGTGTAATGCGCCTGCTTATCGAAATCTGTACGGTTAAGAGTCGTTTCGCATTTCCAAGGAAAGCTCGCGAGCTCTTGCTCAATAGAATAGAATTGTTGGTAGACGTGTATATTTATTTCATCATTGAACGGTTTAAATATATTTTTTTAATATAAGCAGTGTATGTATACTTAAAAAAACATACTAAATTTCAATTATTACTTTTTAAATTTTATTTTATTCATTACATTAACTTAACTCCGAGGTCATTCCGAGGTTGATGGTATTAAGTCCACCTATTTCATATACACATGAATAATTATAATAAAATCGCAATGTTGCCATGTAGAACCTTTTCATTGACCTTTATAACAAATATGAGTAATTTACTGTGCCTTAAAAAGTTTTAGCTAATTTTCTTTAATTTAATTTCTTTCAAAATAATTTTCTTGTTTGCTTCCAGAGAAACCTACATAAAGTAGAATAATAGTTAAATAACTTATTTAACTTAGTGTAAACTTTATAAAATAATTCAAAGCTCAAACAACACAGAAAATAGCCAAAGAGATCTTTTAGACTTTGTAGTAAATAAAACAATGGTAATGACTACATTGAGATACAAGCCCCGAGGGAGATATGCAGCCTGTAGTTGACGTAAGCTTTGAAATAAAATATTGTTGTTACTTATTGTACAACGGTCTACCATTGACATTAATGTTGTATAAAGGGATATTTGCCCCAACTTTCTGCATTGGTAGGGCCTTTATAAAGATGTGACAGGTAGGTATTTCGTGAGAAGTGAATCGCCACACTCTTTTCGGGATTTACTTCTATTCTTCATTTGCGGAACCAATCGCCGAGAGCAGGTGGCACTTTGGAGACAAGAAGAGATTTTATCAGTGTAAAATAGCACCGCGAAAAGCGCGAGATTGACGTGGGAGTCTATGGGTATGTCGCTCGTGTAGAGTAAGGGTGAGAGGTAGGAGCCTTGTGGAACGCGGCGGCAGCATATGGAGAGGGTGCTCTCAACTCGATGTCGAAAAGACCGGTTCGACAGGAAGGCCCGGATGGTGAGTAAGATCCTATCTGGCACTTTGAGTGTGAACAGCTTGTAAAGCAAGCCGTTGTGCCAGACCTTGTCGAATGCATTTGTGACATCGAAGCAAACAGCTCCCGTGCTTATGTGTTTTGTATGATTTAAGCCTTTTAGTTTATGTTCCGTTAGGCGGTATAATTGATCGGAATGTCTAGCTCAAAATCCAAATTGTTTCACCGGCACATGGCCGTTTGAAAATACGTGCTCTTTGAGCCTGTTTCATAATAGCTGCTCGTGGAACTTCCCCAGACGATAATTTGAGGGCTGATTAGTTAGTTTATTCGGCTTGCGAATGTCGATTACCGTAGATTCGTTCCAGTCGTCCGGAAAGGAGGAACTGGAGAGAATTGTATTGTAAATGGTCGCCAGTAAACAGATAAGCGGCCCAGGGAGAGCTTTAAGGATTTTATTACTAATATTATCTATGCTGGGGCGGATTTGGGTTTTAAATTTTTAATAATATCTTGGATCTCTTCGGAGGTCACTGAATTTAATGGATCTACGAATTTAAAGGAGATTACGCGGTCCACCTCCGTTAGGTGGGCTGTAACGGTATGCGGCCTTTTCGGAGTCACCTAGGGCTACAGAACCTATGGCGGTAGAGATTCGCGGAAGTCTGCTTTCAGACTGCGAGCCAACTGCCAGCAGGCGGTGTGCGATGGCTCAATGTCCTCTAGGAGAGTATCCCACTCGGTATGTCGGTGTTCCGATAAGCGATCTTTGACTTAGGGTTGAAGTAGGGTTTGATTCGATTCTGATCGGTATCGGTCGAAAGCCCGTTTGGCTGCATTATTTTTTCTAATTAGCAGTCGCAGATCGGGCGAAAAGTTAAACCGTCGATCGCTCGACAGATTCACCATCCGTTCCGAATTGCGACTGCGGAAGTGATAGTTATCATATTTGTGCTAGATGTCTTGATATCAAAATAGAGCTTGATAGTGACCACAAGCTCATCTTTATTCACCTTTTTTAAATTGAGTAGATGGGGAATCGTGTCTTGTTGTTTTTATACATTTATTTATTTTATATAGTTATATATACGAACATTTTGGTACCATTTTGTTTGCGAGGTTTTAAATGTTGTACTGGTATATTAAAAATCTATTCGTAAAACTATTTAAAATATTAATTGACAATGGCTTATTAGCAAACTATGCATTTTATTCATAAATATTACTACCGAGACATGTGAAAGAATTTAATGTTACGGAAAATACACAAAGAAGATAATCCTTCTGCCTTCCATGCACTCAATATTCGAGCTTTTCTAAAAATAATGTGAAAGCGGATTGCACCGAGCACTCTGACTTACTTTAAATTCAGCTTTTGAAGAAGACTTTAAAACTGATGTTGTTATAAAACTAGCAAGACGGATTATTCGAATATTTTTATTTTTTTATTGGGTCAGGTTATTTTGAGTATAATTATTTAATTCTTAATTTGTTATAAATTAAGAATTAAATAATTATACTCAAAATACCTTACTTACTTGGGATATTTTTTCATAAAGCAACATATATTTCTTAATAACATATAATCATTTCATACATTAATACATTTGTAAATTATTTCAGTATCCATGTAAATGAACGGCCGTACTGTTGCTTATTAGTTAAGTAGTAATATAATGTAGTAAAAAAAGTTAAAATATCGGCATAATATCGGCATTGGCTGTTTGTAATTTATGCAATTTTTTTCTTTTCCGATCATTTTTTTTTTTTGGTAAAACTTGTCATGAATTATTCTTGCATTATGCTCTGTGTTAATGTAGAACCTTATTAGGTTCTTCATTAATTAAAAAAATTAGCTAAACACTAAGAAATATTAAAAATTACTTAAAATGTTCGACAAATAACTTTTTCAGACCATCCTTAAAAAGTTCATCAAGAAAAAATTTCCATAGACGGTATAACAAAATAATTGAAAGTGTTTTTTTATTTGAAAAAATTAATGGTCTGTTAACTAATTTTTGACGGAAGTCCAATCAGATTATGATAACGAGGATGAAAGGAGAAATGAGAGATTGAGATTGGATTAAAAAAGATTAAGAATGAAAAAGAGATTGGATTAAAAAAGGACAAAACTTTTCGACTTTTTACTAGGACTCGGCTGTCTGTCAGTCTGTCTGTCCGTCTGTCACCAAGCTGTATCTAATGAACCATAATAGTTAGGCAGTTGAAATTTTCATAGATCATTTATTTCTGTTGCCACTGTAATAAAAAGTACTAAAAAATAGGATAAAAAATAATTAAGTGGTGCTCCCATAAAACAAACATGATTTTTGCCGTTTGTTAAGATAACGATACGGTACCCTTCGCGCGCCAGTCCAACTCACATTTAAAAGAATCAAAACAAGATAATAATAATAATAATAACGTGACGTCCCACAGAGTGTATCATCCGAGATCGTCAGTGATGAAGCTGTACCTGCCGCGGAAGCATGGCGGGAGGGGCTTTTTAAGCGCCCTCACCATGCACAATCGCGAGGTGTGCAGCCTCCGTAACTACTTTCTGGCGAGTCAATCTACACGAACGTCATTAGTTGTGATAAAGGACTTACCCCTCTATCCTTAGCCAACGAGCAATGGCAGGACCCGGGAGTACTGAGCGTTTCCGACCGAGAGACCGTATGGAAGGAGAAAGAGCTCCACGGGAGGTTCTACAAGGCTCTATACGAGCCTTTCGTAGATACTGTTGCCTCCCTTAACTGGCTACGTTTCGGTGACCTCTTTGGGGAAACCGAAGGTTTTGTCTGTGCGATACAGGATCAGGTTATTAAGACGAACAACTATCGGAGATACATCCTAAGGGATGGCACCGTCGACATCTGTCGAGCTTGTCGCCATTCCGGGGAGTCGCTTCGGCATGTTATCTCCGGTTGTTCCATGCTTCCTAACTCTGAGTATCTGCATAGACACAACCTAGTAGCCAGAATTCTACACCAGGAGCTCGCTCTGAAATACGGCCTCGTGGATCGAAAACTGGCGTACTACAAGTACTATCCAGAAGCCGTGCTCGAAAATGACCGCGCCAGGCTCTTTTGGGACCGGCCCTTCATCACGGACAGGACGATTGTCGCGAACAAACCTGATATCGTGTTGATGGACCGGGCACAGCCGCGGGTATTTTTGATCGAAATTGCCATTCAATATGACGAAAACCTCGTGAAAGCCGAAACAGATAAGAAGTCGAAGTACTAGCTGTCCCGGCAAACGTTGTTATGCCATATAAATTATTTGTAGGGTAGAAAAAATGTTTGGGGGTTAACCACCCTTAACATTTAGGGGGATTAAAAATAGATGTTTCCCGATTCTCCACCCTGGCCGATATGCACACAAAATTTCACGAAAATCGGTTATTATTTTATAGCACTGCTAGTGACGTAGACGTACAAAATACTTTTGACCCTACTCCGTATAGTAAAGAGGGATTTGCAATTTCTCACAGATTTCATCAACTCCTTCGATTGAATGATGCGCCATTAAAACTGAACTTTACAGAAAGTTTCTGATTTCCCTTGAGCCATACAACATTTTCTTGAGTGTGATCTGTTACCTGTAGTAGAATGCTGTAAATCTAAGATTGCGAGTTGAGCTTATATAATTTTTTATTTAGTTAACACCTTTTACTTTATAACATAAGTTTTTTTATTTTTCTCATATTTTTTTAAATTTCACAAAGCTACATTTTATACGCGAAGCGATAACTTTCAATGCGGATTTTAAGTTGATATAACTTTTTTTATTTATAAGCCGATTTAAATAAAACTAACAGTATATGTCAATTGAAGCTTACTGCAATGCATAAAAGTTAATAAAGTTGTTGACCAGATCTAAACCAATGGAAACATGTGTGGTCAAGGACGAAGATGGACTACAGCTAGCGGAGATGGATCATGTTCTGGAACGATGGCGAAAATACTGCGCGCAACTTTATGACTGCAACGAGGATCCCGAGGTTAGCAATCCATGGGTCGTAGACGAACCTGATATATTGCCATTGGAAGTTCAGAAGGCCCTCAACGCTCTGAAGAACAGGAAAACACCAGTGAAAGATGGAATTCCAGTTGAGCTTGGCTTGGCGTTGGCCACATTATTAGAAGAGGAGAGGAAAGCTTGGAAAGGTTGATCGTTGTTGGAAACACTGAAGGCAAAAGATCACGTGGCCTATCTCCAGTACGATAGATAGACCAGCTTAAGGACAGAGAACCGTCTCCGAATTTCTGCTATGTGGTTAGGACCGCGATGGTCCGGAATCGATGGAGAGATTTCATTCGTGTTAAAATGACGACCGCCAAGACCTCATCAGACATGATGAAAACGACCAGAAAGAAGACAATGCATAAGTGGAGTTGCACCGAAATCGGTTAAGCCGTTTCTGAGATGAGCGCGCACAAACACACAGAGGAACAGATAGACAAACAGACAGAAATTTTACCAATCGTTGATTTGAGTTCTGCGTTGATACTCGTAAAGGCCCTCAATAATAGGTTTTCTTAAATATCTTACATGTACAGACAACGATAAGTTACATTTTTTTATACGTATAGGTTTACTGCCGTGATACCTCGTTGCCCGGGCGCTCGCTTTTAATTAAACCGGAGATCGAGCAACTGAGCTGGATCTCCGGTACCTCTACCAATGAAATTGTGCTGACTTATCACCTGCTCTGCAGTATACGAGATAGAGAACTCGAGAAACGGAAATTTCTTCGGAGCCTGGATTTGGTCTGTCAACTAAGAAGTATGTCGCAAGCCTGGCGTAAGTCACTTTGTTATCCCTGACAGCACTAACTATATCTAGATGATTTAATTTAACATTAGAGTTTTAAGAGTTCTAGAGTTTTAATTTAAAACTCTAGATTCTATGATTATAAAGGCACATATTCTATCTCTTCGTCGGATTTTTCCAGGAGATGATTTCTAATAATTGCTTTTAGTTTAAGTCATATTAATAATTTTATTTGATTTCAAATTTCGACTGTAAGAACAAGTGTTGTATTTAAGTGATTTTTACTATTCTTTTATTGTGTCTATTTTAAGATAGTGTTTCGTATAACTTGTTAGTAAAATAGATGAGACCCGTTGCAATTGCTGAATTCACAGGAGTGTCGAGACGGGGCTCTCTAATTAGCGATCCGGCACTATGGGGAACGTAGAGCTAACAACACATTAAAGGGTTTCCGGGTGAGTTCAAATGTTTTCGAATTAACGTAAATTTGTCGTAATAATAAAACGAGAAAACAAAGACAACCAAACCTTACAGTGAAGCCCTTGTCTGAAGTATTCCGAGGTTGAATATAGACTTGATAACTTGTTCACGCCGAAGCGTTTCCAGTTTAAATAAACTTCTACTTTATGTACACGTAGGTGAACGGTAAATTAAATCATTACTATAATTGTATGTTAAGTTTTTGAAGGTGTATCCTCATTATGTACACACATATACTCGTACGCCTACCATACGTTTGTTTATAGTAGCTAGTTCTCCAAAAAGGAAACCTGTTTTAGTGACTCCTTACTAACAATATCACTATTCAGCAATTATTACCACTTTTGGCATTGAAAACAAACCATCTGAATGAAATAATTGTTCTGAATGGGTAGGTATATGAAATAATTTAAAGGTATTTTTTTTATTTCATTCTCCATAAGTTGTTGGGCCAATCCCGAAATCCTGGTTTTTGTTATTTCAAAGGGAGTTATACATTACATATAGGCAATTCTAAATTACTACTAGGATGTGTTAAACTTTGATGTTATGTTCATTGTTGACCTATAATAATTTTTATAATGATTTTTCTGATTCGAAAATACTTAATTAATCAAGATCTATATTCATAAAAAGTATTAAAAATAAATATTTACAAAAACACTAGCGATAGGTTCGAAGCAGTTGCCAAGCGTTGATATGCGTCTGTAGTATTTAAGTATGTATGTCAATGCGTTATAAAACTAAGGGATTTTTCATAAAGATTTACGTGCATTTTAACTAAATGTTTGTATTATTCGGTAACATAAAATTTTATTTTATGTTACCGAATATGTTACCGAGTTTTCAATAATTTGTAGCATTCATGGGCACTAGTTTAGGTGTAGGGGTATCGCGATTTTATTATCTCGTTTCTCAAAATTCTTGTTTCGTGCTAATTGAATTAGAACTAGCCTTAGCTTCAAATTAAACTTATTTACTTTATTTAAGGATACATTTAAAAGGAAATTTTATTTTTAGTGCTATTCTCTGCACTCAAGATTACCTGAACTTTAAATTGTGAATTTTCGTGGATAAGTGAATAACGTTCTGTTATATGTCTTCGAGTTTCGCGCCCTGACAATTAAACAAACATGCTAAGCGGCCGATCGATAACCTCATGGCGTGAAAATCTCGACATCTATCTACGTTCTTTCTATTGCATTTTTAGCCATGCTTGGCGCCTTCTAGTGTTCATCGTTGAATGTCCTGTGTAAGGTATTGTATGCTATAAAGGATAAAGGTTCGAATTCCGCTTCGTCGAAAATTTGATCAGACCAACGGATAAGTGATCGCCCACGTGGTCTTTTGTCATCTACTTTCCTAACTACAACGAGTTTTTCAAAGTTACCCATTTGCCTACGGGCAACGTGACAAAAATAATTTAAGACTCGTTGATAACAAATTGCGGAGAGCCTAGTCTTAATGTTCAGTATCTGAAGAATAGATTTGCTGGCGCGTTTCGCTGCCCACGGTGTGCGCAAATTATTCCATCGACATCATATTTTGGAGGCTTCGATCTTTTTCCGGTCCACTTGGCCAATTCGCCAAGATTCGGAGGCCTACACGAATATCAACGATACCAGCGTCCACACAAGTCCCATTTTTTTGTTGCAGATATTTCTACCTCGACAGATCCTCGGCATTTTGCCCATGGCGGCCTTTCCCATCTCCGTACGTCTCCGAATTTCCTTCTCGCAACCCCCTGATCACTGACGATTGAGCCCAGATGCACAAATTACTTCACACATTCCCGTGTGTGTGCTTTGTCCAGCCTGGTCGATGATCATAACTTAGGTCTTTTATTTATTGATCAGACAGTCCTATCGCTTCTCTTTCTCGCTCTACCCTGCAGAACAGTTCTGCTAGTTTGCACTCGGAGGACTTGAACAATGTGATGTCAACTGCATATCGACGGTTGCTTATCTTATTACCACCTACCGGGATACTTCCCTCCCACCCATCTTAGGCTTTCCTCATAGATTTACCTGCCATAGATATTGAAAAGACGGAGAAATATAATGTATAACTGTCGGGTTTCTTTCTTTGGCTTAAAGGTCCTGACACCACATCATTCAGCCTGATCATAGACTCTTCACCATCGAACAAGCTCCCGATCAATTCAACTAAGTGCGAAGGTACTGCCGTTTCTTGAAAAATTGTCCATAAGGATTTCTGTCTCACGCAATCAAACGCTTTTCAAGTCAATTCTCTATCAACTGCCTAACATTGACCATTTGTTCTCTAGTGCCCCAGCTTTTGACGGCAGATACGGTTGCAACCAGTTGCAATTGATCATGTAAAGCGTTGTATTTTTTTTGAGATTTAATCATTTTTTTAAATATCTCCGCATATTTATTGTTTCAGTGATGTCTTTGTGTTTTTTTTTCTCTATCGATTAAAAATATTTGTAACCAAAAAAGCGCGTTTCCCTGTTAAAAAAAATAACCAGTAACAGTACATGTTCCTTTTAGATTATTTAATTTTCGTCTGCTTGAATAATTTTAACATCGAAAGACTAAGCCAGTAAATAAGTAAGATTTTACTGTGCAATTGCGTGTACCTTAACATTACTTACTGAAAAAATTCTCATGCGAAAATATTTCCCCGACAACTTCGCCCCTCGCGTTGAAAGTCGGGATAATTCTTCAAAACGAGTTATCTCCTTGGGCGCGAAATTTGTACACAATTTTATCGCCCGACTCACGTGGATTGATTTATCACCATCGTTTACGTATCAGAGCGGAGAATATTTAATGTGGGAGTATCTTAACGTCTCTACGTTTTACGTTAAAACCTTTTATATCTTGGCGAAGTTTAATGTAATACAGAATAACAAACATAAATAAAAAAAATTTTCTGAATGAAATTAATTTCAAACAACCGAACCTGGCACAAGTATATATCGAAAAATGGTTTTGTATATCGTACAAGATACGTTAAGTGACACATGTCAAACGATGCTATTTCACAGCAGACGGATTTTCTCAGGGCGGTCATTAAATTTCCGATATTTCGAAATGAGATTTGGTCCTTCACTGCTGGCTTTATGAAGAAGTTCAAAGTCGCTCAGTGACCTAATGACTACGGTCTACGCTAGGTATTTCTCTTTGTGATAGAGTTGATAATGACGACACATTAGAACAAATACCACTGACAAAATTCAGGGGATTAGCAAGTTGAAGTATTGTGAGTTCATATAGCTCAAAGAACCGATAACCGATGGGAATAGGTTTTCCAGTGGCAGTTTCGTAATTACCACCGTAGTCTAGGATGATCTTCACTAGATGGAGAGACGCCCTGCAGGAAGGAAGCCCCTGCAGGTCCATCTGCAGGAAGTCGATACCTGTGCCTGTCGTAATCTTGCGTCTTAGAAATCTGTGTGGGAAGCCTATATTCGGCTGTTATGTGGAGAAATGTATTACTATATATCTTGATATGTGTGCACGGCCAATAAGGGCCTAGTAATCAAAAACTACTATTTCTTGACTAAAATTTAGATGTTATTTTACTTAGAACGAGAAACGGCTCAATTTGTCTCGTAAATATAGATGCCAACAAGGAACGTGGCACATGTAGGCCAGCTTACAGATTTTTTTTCCCCATCTATTGATTAGAAAGGCTACGGCGAACTACTACGGGTTTCCATGCATTCGATCATTTCCTTTTTAACTGTATACTTCTACTGTTTTATTTCATGATTTGTTCACTCCATTGTTTTTTATGTAAAATGGCAAGCGAGCTAGTGGTACACCTAATGTTTATTAGTAACTGCCGTTGCCACCTTTTATTTAAGTGAGCCCCGGTTACCTCGGTCATCAAACGAAACGTAAAAGTGTAAGAATTCAGTAAACAGTATTCATAACATCATAACCT